TACAAGTTCTAGGGGCTCCTAGAGATTTCTTAGTATTTTCTCTGTAGATGATCATTTCATCTATATACAAAGATTTTGCTTCTACCTTGCCAATACTATCCTAATTGCATCATTTCATTGCCAGACTATTTTGGTTTAGGACTATGTTTCATATTTTAATGAACAGATGAAGAGTAGGCATATCTACCCTTGTTCCCCACCTTAAGGAGAAAGCATTGTATCTTCTCCATTCATATAAGGTGTTTTTGCTGGAAGTATGGAGTACAAGTCTTTAATCTGTTGAGAAAGTTCTGTTCTACTTCTAGTCTCCTGATAGCTTTTACCATGAACAGCTATAGAATTTAGTCTGATACTTTTTCTCCAACTAGTGACAGGATCATATGGCTTTTTCCTTTCCTCTGTCAAAATGGTGACTTTTCGGGGTGGATCTTCCAAATGCTGAACCAACACTGTCATCCCTATAATAAAACCACTTTCTACATACTGCCAGATCTGACTTCTAATAGTTAGTTTTGTTAAACAAATTTCTATGTTCATACTTTTTTCTCCTATTATCTTTATCCAGTTTTAGGATTAGCACAATGTTGATTTCCTAAAATGCAGGGAGACGTGTTCCTTTTTTTTTCTCCTGTAAATGTTTGATATAATTTATCAGTTAAAATGTGTATGAGCCTGCTGTTGTCATATTGGTAGGTTTTCAAGCTAGGAATATACTTTCTGATAGGTCTTCCACTACCTCAGCAGCCATTATGTATAGTAGCTGCCCTCTTCCTATGGTGCCTTGCCCCCTCCCCTGTGTGATGTCATGCCAAGATGGTTGCTCCCACCAAAGAACAAACCCTTCTTCCCAGCATGCCCCTGGTCCGACCTAGAGAGTAACCTAATACTGGCTCACCTCCTACCACCTAGTAATGTCACCGGCTCCTCCACTCCCTGATCACTACCTCACTCAACCCCGCCTCAGCCCCTATGAACCACACCCGTTTCTATAAAAGACTCTCCCTGCCCCGGCCATGTTGCTTTTGTCTCTCCTTTGTTCAGAGACAGCCCAGCAGATCTATTCCCCTAATAAAGGCTTGTTATGGCCTGGTCTGGTCTTGGTCTTCAGCACTTTTACCTGACACTTTCTTTAATAGGTGCTATTCAAATTTTATATTTCCTCCAGAGTTAGTTTCATTAATTTGTCTTCCAAGGTACACCTTAGTAGTCAAATTTATTTCAAAACAATTTTTGTAATCTGCTTCCTATATCCTTTTAAATTCTGTAAAATCTGTGGTAATGGCTCCTAGATCTTGATATTGTAATTTGAAAAATGTATAATTGATATTTTGTAATAGGAAGTAAAGGTCTAAAGGAGCAGGGGAAGTGGGAGGGGTAGGGGAAAGGAAAAAATATGAGAAAAGGAAAACAATGGAAACAAAGTCTTTGCAAATAGGGAACAACGGAGGGAGGGGGTGAAGGGAGGCAGAAGGGGAAAAAATAAGAACTAAGATACTCCTGTAATGGTATAAGATTCCAATGATGAATGTAACTGTATTTTATACCTAAAATGTACCAATAAACTTAATGGGGGGGAGGGGGAATGACTCCACAAGAACTGCAGGATACAACCTATTTTTTTGGTGGGGGGTACCAGGGATGAAGCTTGGTACCTTGCACTTACACAGTACCACTGAGCTAAATCCCTGGCCCCTAACCTGTTCTTACAAGAACAAATCTCAAGTATGCCTGGCAATGTGCACAGGGCATATACTTCCTGGCCTCATCACATCCAAGTGTGGTGATAGTACACAGTAACAGCCACAGAGAAAAGGGCAAGTTTGTGTTGAGCTTTAAGAACTCACCTCATTAGCACACGCTCTTTACCTGTCCTCCCTTCCTCTTTCTGCTGGCACAGGAACAAGGAGCTGGAGCTCAAGTAGCCATCCTGTAAGGATGAAGACCATGCAGTAAAGACACCAGAGCTGAAAGACAAAAGACACCTAGTGCATGCAGGAAACTGACCTGTCCTACAGTACCAACCTGACCAGTTGATAGTCCGGCATGTGCCAAGGATATGAGATAAAGACAGGGTTCCTGCTCTCAGAAGCTAATAGAAGTATCAAACATTTACTGCACACTGGGTATGTGCCAGACAGCATTTCTTGTGCTTCATATGCATCAGAAACCAACCATGTGCATTACATATCACCCACTCACACAGATGAGGATTACAAATTTAGCAAGGTTGGCTATCAATGGTAATCCAAACTTTGAAGCTAACCATTTTAACTACAAGGCAATAATGGTTTCTGGCCTTGTGAAAAATTCGCATTCAAAGGGATGAAAGTTTTGGATGGAAATGAGCATCAGCAATATTTGCTATATGCTGAACAAGGGAGAAAATCCAAGGTTCCCACAGAATCTGAGCTTTTCCAGGTGTGTGAAAAACATGGATATGTATACCAGGAAGAAGTCTCAGGGATGAGAGCTGGATACAAACGTCAGGCAGAAGAGACAGATACAGCTAAGTAGATCGCCAACTATAAAGACAAAGTGAAGTTGAATAAAACTAAAGGCAGTACTAATCACTCTTCCCAGAAGCTTGGCTGCACAGGGGACACAAAAATCATATCTGCATATATCGTTATCAACAGTGTAGTTATCATCAATATAATAACCCAGTCAACATCTAATTGAACCGGTATGATGTACACTGAAGACCGCAAGCTTGAAACAAATAAAACTGGACTCAAACTCTTGTGCCATAATGTATTTCAGCCTTGAATAAATTGCAAGAGGTTTTTTTGTGGTATATTTAGTATGATCAGGAATTTCTTCGTTAATAACAGATACTACTCTTGCAAAGCACAGTATGGTGTGATAAAGATAGAAAAATATTGGAAGGATGGTCACTTTGTTTCCTGAGGGCTGCATTCTCAACACTTCTTATAGATTCTTTTTCATGGTTTCTGGGTTAATCTTTGAAATCTACCAGTAATAACAGTTCCTTTACAGAAACTTCATAAGGTGCAGCAGGTATTTTCATAGAATTCTATGTAGCATCCCTCCTCTGAGATTTTGCCCTTTAAAGTCATCTCCAACTCTACCCATGCTCACACTGCAAAATTTTAGGGTAAAGGGGAAGTAGTAAGCATAAATTTAAAATTGTCTTAAAGTCTATTAAACATTTAACCTTAGTTTATCTAACCCTGCCGTGTTAACATAGCCCAAACATTTTGGCATGAAAACCTTACTAGATCTGTTTTATATACGGCTTCATTAGGTAACCCAGATACAGTACAGCAACCTGTCACAATATCAAGAGACGAAGGTTGTAGAGGACATAATCTGTCTTTCATATCAGGTCATAGAAGCATTTTAAAATCACATTTATAAAAGTGAACTAAATTCTCTTTTGTAAAGTGCTGATACAGTTTGTTTCAAACTATTACCAGTTGTTACTTTCCTTTTGTGGTACTAGGGGTGGTTACCCCTGAGAAAGATTTGTATCATAAACTTCAATGTTTTGATACCAACAGGTTTAATACGGCAATTTCCAAATATGTCTCAATTTTTCCAAATATATTTTTATCTAAATTGGTTTATAAAACCCTCACTTGCAGATTTCACGAAGATCTGACACAGCTAGCCTACAATCTTCATACAGCATTACTAACATATCTTACAGAGCAACAAAGTTTGACTCCCCGTGTTCCCCCAGAAGATAACTTAACAACGAACTAAATAACTTACAGTTTATATGACGGACTAAGTAACACAGGAAAAGCCCATTTTGAGGATAGGGGGTGGGGATAAAAACTGTTTTACAGCCATTCTAGTAAAGCCTAATTCTGAACTGCAGATTACAACCAATATTTAAACATACCTTCACACAGCTGAGATGAGAAAAGAAACTTAGACCCAGTGGCCAAAAAATAACCTGTTTCCAACCTCCTCAGGTTCCAGCATATCCCAGAATAAAGTGCAAAGGGAGGAAGAGAGGAACAGGCTTTCAAGTGCCACACTCACCTGAAACTAAAGATGTCCATTGTTTAATCTCAGCTATGTACACTAAAACTTCACACAGTAATGTCACAATAATGGTACTTAAGCAAGGTTAAGGGCACTGTTCTGCTCCCACCTAAGATTTATAAGTCCTGACCAAAAGCTGGCTTATTGCTGTAATTTATCTTAAAGTAACAAAATAAGACAAAGCACGGTAAAGACTGCTTTATTGGTGGTAGTTAGTACAAGTCAATAAATATTGATCCCCAAAGAAGAGCTCAGTTATTTATCATATTACTGGTCCAGGGAGCTGACTGGAACTGAGCCACGTGACTGCTGGTCTGACTGAAGTCATTCCGGCTTCTTGGGAAATGATGCCATAGCCAACTGATAGATGGCATATGCAGTTCCTACAAAATACAAACAAGAACTTACAAAAACTGTGAGACTTAAATATATATTCCAGCTCCAAAGTTATACAATCAGAGCAAAGCTGGCATTGATTACCTTAGTGGAACACAAAAATGCACTGTGATAGATGCTGGCAATATTTTACTTTTTTTCTGGTACCTGAGATCAAACTAAGGACCTTGCGTTTTTGAGGCAGGTGGCAGAATCACTGAGCTAAATCCCCTGGCCAATATTTTAAATAAATATATGTAAAATATATTTCATGTAGTTTTAATATTAGTCAATTTCTACAGCAAATGTTGATATTACACAATAATGTACCTGTCAACTTAAAAGTGTCACCAAAATTTTTAAATGAGATTAAGAACACATACAAATAAGAACACATATTTCTATATTAACCTAAGATTCCCTGAGAAATACTAAGGGATATTCAAAAGCACCCTCTCTCCAAAGAATCAAAAAATATGTATGCCTCCCCTAAAATGTGCCATCAACATAAAACCAAGTATGAGAATAAGTAGCCAAATTTAATATTAAAAATAGCTAATTGGGCCGGGGATTTAGCTCAGTGGCATAGCTCTTGCCTTGTAAGCACTAGGTCCTGAGTTCGATCCTCGGTACCAAAAATGCTAATAAATGGAATTTTATTTTTAAAACTAATAACCAGCCTAAGAAAAGATTACACTGACTAAAAACATTATAGGACATTATCTTATTAAGAAAGCTGAGCTGGGCATAGTGGTGCACACCTGTAATCCCAGCATTCAGGAAACTGAGGCAGGAGGATTGCCACAAGTTTGAGACCTGCCTGGGCTACACAGTGAGTTCAACAACTCCATAGTGAGACCTTGTCTCAAAAAAACAACAAAAAAGCCCAAATGCCACTATCTGTTTCAACCCATAAATGTCCCTTCCACTTATCAGAAGTATGTGACATTCCTATCAATATGATGAGGACAGAGTAATTATGCAAATCCTGTTTCCCTTCCTTCCTCAGAGACCAATCACTCAAATTCTTATATTCCCACTACTCCAACGTGTGACATGCTTGCTAATACTGACTAATGGACCTAAAACACTGAAAAAAAAAATACAAGTATCTTTGCAGATGTAAAAACTAAGTACTGTTTGGTACCAGTTTTATGTTAGTCATAAATATGTATGTACAGGTTTTTTATGCAAAATGTGTTATTCTATATCAGAGTTAAAATGTTTAAAAAGTCTCTGTGATAGGAGGAAGTGGATGTTTTGGGCTGAAAAACAGGATCCAGGGCCATTAAACACTCAGAAAGTCAGCTCTATCACAAGATGTCAGAAAGACATCAAAATGTTCTTATAGCCTATGTTTCAACTACCCTCTTGAATCTTTCTATCAGCCACAGTAAGATGTCACATATTAGAGGCAGACTGCCCACATTAAAATACTGTCACAGCAAAAGCAATGAAGTTATCATTACCACATTACCATTATTTTTCTACAAACATGCCAAATGTCTTACCACCAACTGTAAGAACCATAGTGGCTCTATACAAGAGGGCATCAGCTAGCCCACCCTTTAGGTGCACTGGAATTTCACTGTTCTCCTAAGTTAAAAAAAAAAAAAAGACATTAATAGATGTGGCTCTTATTTCCAATTAAGTTTCAAAAGATAGTCATTCATATAAAAATTAAACAGCTTCTGAAAAACATTTTAAATATCAAAATTTAAAAGAACTGTAATTTTCTCCATTTATTCTCTACTACTATTTTTAAAATAAAAACTTCTTTTGAAGTTAATTTAAGATCCAGTAAAGATTCCCCCTCAAGGAATATATAAATATTAAAGCAATAAAATATATTTGAGTTGAACAACTTATATATATACATATAAATATATATAATCAATTACCATCACACTTTAGATTTAGTCCTAGGGAAGGGCCCCACCCTTAAAAAAAAAAACGAGGACAAGGGATTTTCATTTTTGACCCTAATCTATATGCCTGGTTCCTAATCCAGGATCTGGCAAATAGTAGATATTTAGTATATCTGTTAAATATTTTATTTTGATGTAGTATATATAGTATTTTTATCACCTAAAATTTTACATGGGAAAAATCAGACACCACAAAAGACAACCTAAATTCTACAAAAATAAATTGCTCCACTTTACTAGATCTCTACATTTTAACACAATTTTTGTGTGTGTGTGTGTGGTACTGGGGATCGAATTTAACACATAATTCTTCTAAATTACACATACTTCTTTAATACACAAAATAAGATTATGCTATATTGTGACCTTCCATATACTATTTTTTTGCTCAATAGTACCTTAAAAGCCATTTTATTAGTCCACTTAAACTTATCCTACTCTTTTCAATAGTATTCCACCATGCAAAAATATATTAACTGCATTAATCAATTTTCTAATATTGGATATTCAAGCTCTTGGGATTTTATTAAAATAATCTTTCCTGTTTTTATATTCTTAGGCAATTATTTCTGTAGCAAAGATGCTTAAAAGTAGGCTTCCTAAGTGATAGAGTGATTTTTTTTTTTTGGTACCAGGGATTGAACTTGGGACCTTGCACTTGTGAGGCAGGCGTGGGAACTACTGAGCTAAATCCCTGGCTAGAGTGATTTGTTTTCAACAATACTCTCAAATACACACCAAAACTTTGTACCAATTATACTGCCACTTAGCATGTTGTATGTGGATAAATGTACATACATCTCACACCTAGTAAACATACCTACTTTAAATCCTTCTACAATCTTGCCAACCAGGAAAGGGTAAAGTAACCTATTTCCTGTTCATCTTTGTTTGTTTTAATAAGACTAGTGTACAAGATAGCTTTTTTTGTTTGAGACAGGGTCTCACTATGTAGTTTAGGGTGACCTTGAACTCACTATGTAGCTCAGACTGGCCTTCTGCCTCAGCCTCCCGAGTGCTGGGATTACAGGCGTGCACCACCACACCTGGCCCAAAGATAGCATTTTTATAGAAGCTACAATTTTTCCGTTCCAGGAACAGATAAAGAAATGGCAGTCCCATGATCTATAAGATCAAAGGGTAGTGATTTCAGATCAGGACCATTTCTCGGTGACACTGAGATGGCTAAGTTGGCCCACAACAAATCTATGGCAGGAAAAGAAAATGCAAGAGTAGCTTGGAAGTGCTGGTCAACCTCAGGGCTGCAAAATGCCTGGGCCTCAGGTGCCAAAGCATGGTGTTGCTCTTACTCCACACAGGTAGTGCAAGCTCAGCCAGTAATCCACCATTTAACCTGCTTCTAAGCAAAAGCCACAGCCCATGGCCATCAGTGCTTCCAGAAATGAGGCAGAGGGCAGGGAGAGGCAGTCAGGACAGAAAACCAGCCATGGTCCTCAGGAATGTGCATCTCCTATACCTTGGCTGTTGACTGCGGTGAGCTTAATTTGAATTTCCAATAGATCTGTAGGAGTTCTTTGCATGAAGAATATTATACTTTGAAAATTTCCTTTGAATTTGCTCCATCTTTAATATCTATAAATTTCAAATTTTTACGTTATCAAACATTTCCTTAGGAGACACCCCCAAGCCTAAGATTATAAGAAATATTCTCTTTATATTTTAATATTTTGAGAAGGTAACATTTATATATACAATTTATTTTCTTAGTGTACTATATAATAAAGGATGGAACTTTACTTTCTTTAAAATAGCTATTTTTTTCCAATACTAATTTATTATATTCATTCACACTGATAGGCTGTGTCCTTTAACACATATTAAATGTCCACATATGTATTAGATCTGTTTCTGGGTCTTCCCATAGTTTGTCTATTCCCATACAGTTATTCCCTTCAAGAATGCCAGTTCATCATAAACATCTCCAAAGAAATTATCATTGATCTACACCCCTTTCCTTTTCTCAGCTTACCCAAGGTCTCTTAGATTCAGCAAAAATGCTCAAGCCAGCTACCAAGGATTTTTTTTTTACTGCTGATATAAGAGGCTCATTAACAAGCAAATATCTCTAGATTTACTTCCTATTTCCACCTCCTGGTACTCTATTACAAATACCAATCTCTTTTAAACTATTTCAGTACCTGAAACAGCTTTTGCTTCTGTGGAACTTTATTTTCAAAATGCCTGCGTGAAGCAGTGCTGATGGTTCTCTGGGCAATCTGTCGAAGAGCCTGAAATGGGAAAACCACAAACATTAAGCAGATTTAGAGCCTAAAGAAACCTTTTAAACCAGCCATTTTCAATCCTTCATGTTACAGGACACTGACATCTGGTTTGTCAAAAACAAATCTATGAATAAAACACAAAGATCATTTTGCTGCAAAAAAAAAAATAACAAATCTATGGACCAGCATTCTAATTTTTCAATTTGCTGTCCTTCCTCTGCTATTCTCCTCATATTACATTTCGCAGTCTCCAAATACTATATTCATGACCTTTGCCTGAGCTGAACCAGCAGCATTTTGTAATCTCCGAGAAAAACATTAATATGCAGGTATTATAAAAATAAATGGGCAACCAAACTAGACTAAGTTCAAACGTTTTCATTTAATACCCCCCCCATATTTTAAAAAATCTATTACGTGACACTAAAACACACTAGCATGATTCCTATTTAATTAAAATGTTCCCCTCGTTAAATTTTTGTGGTGCTCAGATCAAGCCCACACCCTTGCATATGTTGGAGAAGAGTTCTACCACTGACCTACATTCTCAGCCACCTAAGGAAATTTTAATAGGGTATAAATCTTTTAAAAAGGACTTGTATTACATACTGAATTGAATTAAGTGATGAAATGTGTGCTCCACTTTCTAAAGTAAATGACATTGAGAAGCTTTGTAAAACGTTTGTTAAATACAGTAATACAAAAGAAATTGATCACTGTTAATTATCCTTTTTTTCCCTAAAATTCTAGGAAATATTTCACGTGCCCAAAGTCGACAGAGGGATAACTGGTAATGTAATATGGGCTCATGAAGACAACACTACACTTTATCCACTGACTACACCTAAAATTGATGGACTTCTGATGCTTGCCAGAACCACTGAAACTTGCAACCTTCAGAAGCCGAGGACAGCTTTCCACCTAGTGCTTCCGGATGTCAGAAACCCAGCAGGGCCGGACCTTTACTCATTTCGGAGGGACAAGGCACCAAGAACCCACTAGCTGTGGTGGTGACGGCCACGCCACAACTTTGTGATCGCTCTCCGGCCTCTCTTCTCTGTTCTCATTAGCCCGGCGGCGGCCAGGGGAGAAAAATGGGCGAAAAGTAGGGCCGCAGGAGGACAAGAACCAAGATGACTTCAGGAACCGCCTTCAGCCCTCTCAGGAGTTTTCGTCCTCGCCCCTTAGCCTGTGCTCCCGACCCCTACCACCGTCGCGAATATAAACCCAGAAACTCCTTACCAGCAGATTCCGCAGCATCTTGGCCAGGTTACGAAGCACCAACCTTGACAACTGACCGCCAGAAACGAACGCCACCACAGGCCCTGGAACCGGAACCGGAACCGGAGCGACTTCCTGGTTTTGCGCAAGCGCACACGAATACAAATCCTTCCCGGTGCGGAAGACACTTGCGCTGCCCACCAAAGAGAGCGGAAGGCGAGTGCAAGCGCTGCGGGGCTTTGGTGCTCTAGCTGCCCGCCGCTCGATGCCCGGCTCGCCTCCCGGGGGTGGGCCTTGGAGACTGGGAACAGCGAGTCTGGGAGAACCAGTATGAGACCAGGCTGTCCTAGAAAATTGGTGTTTTGACCGAGGCGGCGTGAACGGAGCAACCTTCGAGCCCCCGCTCATCCACGAACTGTGGTTGGTGACGCTGGGGACACAGATGACTCTGCGCACGAGGATACGCGAGTCCCGCCGCAGACGACTGCTGTGCGCGCTGCTGACGCTGAGATTGCCGGGAAGAGCTGTGTCGGACCCACGCCGCCTTCGGGACGGAACCCGCGCGGTGTGGGGAAATGCTTCTAAGGGGGCGCACATCCACGGCTCGTCTGGTGGGCGGCGCTGCCCAGATTGGCAGTGCAGATAGGCGGTCGTTGTGTTTTGCATTGGTCTGGACTTGCTTAATTCTTATGACAGAGGTCTCTGTTCCCACAGGAAGGATCTCCACCTTTCCACAGACTTTACAGAGTATTCCATTGGCACTTGCAGTATAAACTAATGGTCTATGGCGCGAAAAAAAAATGAAATGTGTGGATAAAAACTGGTTAGCATTAAAATTATTCTTTCTGATCCTTAGAGGGGTTTTTTCCTCCACCCTCTACTTCATGTTAATTGGTCCACCAAATTAGCTGTCCCAGTTCAAATTCTCTTCCTCACCAAGGTTTACGAAAACCTAGTTCGTGTCTTCCTTAAGAGACTGAAAGGATCTGGTTTTTCTTCTCTCTTCTGTATTATGTACTGTAGCCAAACCTTTATGCATAATTACCACGTTAGTAGCTATTGAATGAAGACTTCCAAGTCTATAATTTGAACTTGTTAAAACTGCTGTTGTTTTCTCCATTAGCAAACTAGATTGTAAACATCCTAAGAACAGACTGACTTTCTCACCAATTCCTAGTAATGCTTAAAGGGAGGACAGATCTAGAAAGCTATGACTCTGCCTCAAAAGAACCAAGAATTTCCATTTAGTAGATCCTCACACTGATCTCATGCTGATGCAGATCCTGATCCTTAGTTTCTGTCACTTAGCACAGTGCAGTATTCTTTACTGGGTCATTCCGTCAATAAACACATTCCCAATTTTTTTAAAATATCAATTTCAAGTTACCATCCCATTTCTGTCCTTTGGAAGAAAAGACTTCTTTTACACTTATCTTTTCCTTCCTACTTTATTCTTGATCCCTTTGGCCAAGTTTTTACTGCTGTTGTTAGGAACTCTCATAGCTTCCATGTTGCTGAATAAACTATCCATTTCAATGTTCAGCTTCTCCATCTGTCAGGACCATGTAACATGGCTGACCACTACTTCAAGATATACATTAAACTTTGAAATAAACCATAAATACAATATAACATGGTGTACAGTTTGGGCTGTGAAAGCACATATGTGTCAGTCCAAAGTGACATTTCCCTTCAACTCAAGACAGGATTACAGAGATAGCTAAGGAGCCTCTCAAACTTAAAACCAAGATGAAGGGCCCAGGATTTAGCTCAGTGGTTCTGCCGCCTGCCCAGCAAGCGCAATGACCTGAGTTTGATCCCTGGTACCAAAAAAAAAACAACCCAAAGTGAATTCTACTTTCCAATCTTCGTTCTTAAACCTCCTCTGTACTTTCCTCATCAAGACTCAAACATTGACTTTTCAATCATAACCTATGATCAAGACACTAGAAAATTCTATTTGCTGCAATGTGAATCTGACCACTTCTCATTATTTCTAACACTACGATCACTATACCAGGCCATCAACATCTCTTTGCTTGGATTACTGGAAAGGCTTTTGTAACAGGTTCTTTATTTCCACTCTTCTACTAACTACCATCCCCTCATCAATCTTCCACACCACAATGATCATTTTAAGAACTTAAGTTCGATAATAAGACTATGGTCAAAACTGTTTTGTTCACTAGTTTATCTCTCCCCAGCACCTAAGATAGTAACTGGCACATAAAGAATGCTCAGTAAATGTTAGATAAAGTAACTTGAGACAGAAAATGCCTGCTAAATACTGGTCAAATGAACAAATAGTGCACTGCACAAAATAATTATTGAAAACTCAAAAAACATCTTAATATGTGGACGCTTTTTCAAGTATCAGTCCCAGGTTATACTACTTCTTCCTGCTTAGACAGGAAAATATGGCTGGAATTTGCTTGAGTACTTATAAAGATCTTCCTGGCCACACTTGATATTACCAGATTTCTGAATTCACCTTCTGAACCATAAATTACCTTCAAACTAGACTCCTTTCCAAAACATGAGTTTGGTTTTTTATTTTTTGCTTAAATTCTTTTATTGGTACATTTTAGGTATACAATACGTTTACATTTATCATGGGGTGCTTGTACCTGTACATGAGGTTGGTTTTTTAAATCCTTGTTCTTTTATAATATTTTAGAATGACTCTCCTGAAAAACAATGCCTCTAAAAGGTTCTTGAACAGTGTAACAGAATTGGCAGTATTCTATGTAGACATAAGGAAATTCTGAGGCAGATAAAGGTCTTTTCAGTAAGATACCAGATGTGAAAATACTGATAGCCAACCCGACTCCATCTTGAGCCTCAACACCAGTTTGTACATGTGGTTGGACAAAGCCCCCAAAACCCACATCCTGCTTGGCAGTAAACTTGCTGCAGTTGCAGGGTGTTCTGTAGCTCACCTAGTGTGTGAAACTTCCTTGTATCCCCCATTAACCTGGCATGATTCTGCTTCTGTAAAATCCCACTTGCTCTCCCCTTGAGCCCTCCCCAACTGAAAGCATGATTTAAAAGGAGAAATCAAACCGCTTCCTGATGCAGAGAGAACTTGCTGGGCACTCACCCCCTTTGTCTGCTAGCTTTAATAAACGGACTCAAATCTGGTAGAGTGTAGCCCATCTCCATTGTTCTAACTCACTCATCCATAACATTAGTTACTAATGCAAAGTTACCAAAGTAGTTATCCAGTTTTCCCTTTAAAAAACAAATAACGTGACTTTGATCCTGCCTAAACTTTCTTTAAATCACCAAAACAGAAGTCAGAAAGTTTTGTGTGATTTGGATGGGGGGGGGGTGATTCTGGAACCACACAGCACAACTAAAATCTGCTTCCAATTTGACAAAAATGTAGAACAGTCTCATGTGAAGTTAAATGTATACAAACTTCTGGTTAAATAGATAATTCCATATATTCTTTGTCACACAGTTCTATGGATCACTTATTGGTATTAAAGAGTATGTGTCCTTTATTGACATTTTTATTATTAAATAAATTATCTAATTGCAAGTCTTAGCTTTTATATCACTTAAGGAGTTGGGCTGATGACTTATCTCTGCTTCCTAAGTCCTTATCATAAGCAATTTCTCAAAACATGAGAAAATGAGTCACTCTCCCTTGTAAAATGATTAGCTACTTACTCTGAGTATTAGTACTTTGCAATATCCTCAGAGGCACATCTTTTAAAGTCCCTGACCTTGTGGAGCATACAGTCTAATTAGGAATGTAATACACACATAATTTGGTGCAGACATAAATGTCTCTCCAGGTAACTGGTACAAAAAAGTTGGTATGAGAAATTCAAGGAAAGTAGTAGTCATTTAAAAGATTTTGAAAAGTCAAAATCTTAGCAGAGTTCAGTAAAATCAGAATAAATGGAACAGAGCCTAAAAGCATTTCAGACTTAGATTAAGAGTATGATTAATAACCTGAATTTGGAATCAAGCATAATATACTGCAGGAACTGTAAAAACAGAGGACTAGATTGGGTCCAAAGAGAAAACTTGTAATTAAGAACTTGTAAGTCAGATCTGGAGGCTGTCATTTAATAGTGATATGAATGAGACTGGGATGTAACTCAGGATGACAGCATTTGCCTAGCATGCATGAGCCTCTGGGTTCAATCACCACCATAAGAACGATGATAATGACTGAAAGCAAATTACATAATCTATTTATACCTCAGTTTCTTTATCCTTAAAATGAAGGTAACAGAATCTACCATCATTAGGTGACTATAAGGATTAAATGAGATAACTCAAATATTAGCTATTGTGGAAAGGCTGGCTAAGGAGAAACACATCAAGAAAAGAAAAATTCAGGCAGTAAGTGTAGCATATGCAGAGGCAAAAATGAGAGGGTAAACAGGTATCTTCGAGAATTACAAATAGCTCGGTTTGGCAGAAGGAGGAGGATTATAGTAACTTCAGTGATAAATATTATCTTGAAGGTGCCTTAGAGCTATTCCAAGGATTAAACAGCCAACTGTTCTAATGAGAACCCTAGTTTATAAAAACCACGTTAGTAGTAATGAGAAGCAGGATTGGAGGTTGTAGGGAACAGGGAAAGGGGATGTTACCAGAATTCCTGCAATGAGCCAGCTCACAGTCTCCTGTGAGCCAGGACAGCACAAGGCGAACAAATGAATAAAGACAGGAAATGAGATTTAGAGAAGCTGAGCTTTGGGCCTGATCAGTGCTACTCTGGGCAGCAAGGACAAAGGCACCCTGAGCTTGCCACACCTTCATTCCAGACATCAGGAGTAACAGATGACTCAGAAGGCAGCTGCAATAATCCTAGAACAATGAGGAATTTAGATGAAGATCCTAGATCAAGAGGACTTTGTATTGATTAGGAATTTGTCCCTCCCCAGGATGTCTTCAATTGAAGTAATCCTGCCTTGGAGCATCACAGGACCACTGAGGTTTTTAGCTTTGACATGAGGCAAAAATGGAGTTACGTCTGGACATGCCATAGCCGGCCTGTAGGCAGGAAAACTAGGCCTAATCATAATTTAATTGTGAAATGACTTTTCCCCCAAATTATGTAGAATTGCTCCCAACAGGAGGTAAGTTATTAGCCAGAGAGTCAGATGGCTGCTACACTAATCCAAGGAAGAAAAACTTGAACTGAACAGCAAAAGGACGTATATAAGGATATGGATGAGAGCGCCAATAAAAAGGAAGTACCTTCAAAACTCAAAAGAATGTAATAATTAGAGTAAGGTGGCTGGAGAGAAGAGCTAGGGTTTCCTCATTAGAACTGCTCATACCTTTTACTAAATGGAAGAATATGAAAGCCCTCTGGGGCTGGGGTGGAGTTCAATAGGCCCTGGGCTCAAACCTGGGTCCACACCCACTCCTGACAACAAAAATAAAAGAAACCCCAAGCTCACATGGGGTGGTTCCAAGTCTTGCCTTATTAACCTAGATT